CATCATAGCTACCTCTGTTACATCAAAGTTATTATTACTATTATTATTATTATTATTATGTCCCTTTTTTGCCCATATTTATTGTAGTATAATATTGATTTTCAGCAGTGTTTAATTATAATATGTCCTCATTGGAAATCTATCACTTGTTTAGGATTGCATTTCAGGTTCCTTCCAAAATCTACTTTAACTCTATACTAATGTCTCTGCCTTAAACTCTGAACTTTTATTTACTACTTATTTACATATTTTTTTTACTCAATAGGAGTAGATAGTTTTGCCTTTGTCCAGTTTACACCCCACCCCAATCTTTTGAGCAGAATTAGAGGTTTATCCTTTGTTTCTTGTTTAGGATTAGGTTTTCCAGTTCCTTGTACTGTCTTTTCTTTCTCTTCCACTTCCAATGGCCCCTTGTGTTTTGGTGGTATTATCACCTTGCTTGGGATGGCGCCTCTTACTCTGTAACACTCTACCTAGTGTGGCTCTTGGGCCTTGTACAGAGTGAGCATAAAGAAATTTATAAGCAGCCATGATAGACCATGTCCTGAAAGTACACAGATTTTTATAACTATAGAATCTGCAATATAACAACTTTTTTTTGGTTGATTTCTGAAATTAGAAATAAGTATAATTTTTTTTTTTTCATGTCATCAAGAAATTAGTTCCTAATAATTTTTCTTTTTTTACATTTAATTTATTGCATATTCAAGTGTATTTAAATAGATCACTTATTTTGTGTACTATTTGTATCTTTTCTCTACAATATCTGTTTTGAAATTTTTTTTTTAATTTGAATTATTGAATATCTTTATTATAACAGCTGCTTATAGAGGATTTGTATGACAGGTGTGGTCATCAGAAAAGCTCAATAAAGTTGTCGCCTCACATAACTTGCGCTGAATGTCTGCACATTGAGTAGGACTCCATTTTTGCCTTGACTATGACTGCCTGCACCAGATGGTCTTATTGTTTTGGGATCAATATCTCAGAATGGCTTTTCATTGGCTTGCCAATGCTTCCAAAACATTTACTCCAACAGACACAAAAGCCAACTGAAGCAGTGATAACAATATTCAGTCTATTGATTTAGCTAACATTTAAGCATTCAACCTTCTTTTTCTTTTCTTTTCTTTGTTCTTCGTGCAGGCCTTAGAAGATGGCAACAGAATCGAGTGGATATGTCCAATTCTCTCAAAACTTCAATTCTCTCTGATTAACTATTCATTGAGTTTTTCTTGAACTTCTTTTTCTTTTCTTTTTTTTTTTTTTTTTTTTTACCATCTTGTCTTTGATTTTTTATTCTTTGCAATTCTCCCTGACCTTTTATTCTTAAAGATGTGGACACTATTTGTTTTTTCTTTTTTTGTCATTGATCAACCAGTTAGCTTTAGATTTTCACCTGCCATTTTCTTCTTCATATTGTGTCAAGTTGTTGAGCTGGTGTATCAAATCTTCTCTAATTCCTTCATAAATAACAGGTATAGATTAATTACAACATCAGAGCAATGCTAAACTGCTTAAATATGGTTGACATCACGAGAAGGTTATTAGAGATTTAGTTTCTAAAAAAAAAAAATAATAGTAATAATTATAAAGCAAAATTGCAAATACTAGCTGGACCTGTAGAGATTCCATGGCTGTTGACAATTTTTGTTATCCATCTTTTCATATCTTTACTCTTCTCTTTTTGCCTGTGTCTTCTCATTCTCTCCCTTGTCCGTTCCAATCTTTTTTGCCTGTTCATTTTTTTTTTAATCAAAATGTTATACAAAATGTATTTTTTTTTATATATTAAAAAAAAAAATAAGGAAAGCATAAATATTTTCTTCTGCACCCTCACTTTTATCATCCTTTTGCTCTATCCCTCTATAAACAATCAGATGGGTGGGTGGATGATGTAGTGGCTCAGAATGAGAAATTGGAGAGCATAGTTCAAATTCCAGGAGTTCATTGCATTCACTTATATACAAATACCCTTGGAAAAGTCATGACTTCATTTCTTCTCCCCCCCCCACAAGCTATGGATTAAAAAGTAAGATTTGTATGTAGAAAAATCAGTTATCACAAAAAAAATGCAATAATCGCTCTAAAAAAAAAGAAAGAAGAATTATTCTTACAATCCAAAATATGTTTCAACTTTAAATAAACCACAAAAGGGTCTACAAGTGGTGTATATATATATATATATATATATATATATATATATATATATATATATATATATATAAAATCTGAATTTATCACAATTTTTACACCTTTCCATTTCTATCTGCCTTCAAATATTTACACCCCTCCATCCCTTCAAATTTTTCACTCATTATCTCTTCAGATTTTGTCAGCAATTTTGCCTTTTTTTTTTTTTTTGTCCAATGAACATACTCTTGGGTGCCAAATATTTGGGGTTGGGTAAAAAAAATCTAATGGAAGTGATTAATAAATGGTGGGGATATCAAAGTGGACAAATGAGAATTTAATAAATGTAGAGTTTCAATAAATGGGGAAAAGATTTTTTTTTTTTTAAAAAAAAAGTCTTTCAAATCGTAACAAGATCTTGATGAAATAAAACAAAAAATTAATGTTCATCAATGTTTTTTTTCTTACCCAGACTTCATGAATTTAAACGTTCAACTAGGCTGGCATCTCGCTCTCACCCTTTCACTGTTGAAACTGTTAAATGCAGCTGTCTCTTCATGTCTCACACTTCTCGCCTGTAGAACTCTCTCCCTTTTTCCCGTTTCCCTGATAGCTATAATCTCCAACTATTCAAATGTAATGTCAATCGACATCTTTATATGCCTTCATCCTTTCCTCTATCACTCCTCTTTGTTCTCGCTCCAACTCTCTATAACCCCTTGTATGCTAGTGGCTTCCTGCCTTGCCTGGGGTGAAACACTTAAAAAAAAAAAATGTTCATAAAAAAAAAATCAGAATTAATAAGTTGGGGATACTCAGGGTGGGGGGTTGAAAAAAAAATCCAAAAATTAGCAAGCAGTGAGAGGCATTTATTTGGTACCTGGAAGTACCTTCTGTTTCTCACTACAGTCATCCCTTGTTTATCGTAGTTAATCAGTTCCAGACCCTACTGCAATAAGTGAGTTTTTGCAAAGTAGGATTATTTATTTATAAATCAAATATTTTCATAGAGCATAGAAAACCTGTTTACGACCTTCTAAATACAGTTTTTGACATTATAAGAGCTCTCTAGACATGATATAACACCCCTGTAGTCACCTTTACACTTATATTACCCAATATATTAAACAAAATAAGAGAAAATAATACATATTAGACATTACAAATATCATTATTATTATTATTATTGTACATTAAAATTACACACAAAGTTATTACATGTACATTGCTTTATCATAGAACAAGTTGCATTATTTTCCTAGGTTAGCGTGAACTTAGGAAAATAATGCAACTTGTTCAATGATGAATAGATGTACTGCACAAAAAGGGTACTACTCTAAATCATTTGCATAAACATTTCTTTATACCTTGGAAGGACTAATAAGCATTATTTGATGTTTTCTTTTCAGCACCTCCTTGAAATCAATTGTCCTATTTGCATAAATATCTTTGTAGTTTTGGTTTTGCCAAAAATAAAATTTGGCCTTATTTTAATCAAATACTATTGTCTTGTTTTGTACTCAGTTTGTTGTCAATGTAATATCTTTTAAACAATTTTGTTTGTGGACTCTTTTTGTACCAACACACAGCCAAAACATATCACCAACAAGTGATCCACAGCACACCCACAACATTAGTAGACTGTAATTATCCATGAATCGGCAAGGAATCATGATATGATTATTTAATGAAAAGACCTGAAACTAAAACCGCACAAGAGTTGAAGCACAAAGTGATGAACAACAAATGTATATGTCTCAAGACGGTGCTGAAAAGTTCTGGACCTAACCAAGAAAAGATTCTTAAAAAAAAGAATAATAAATTTTAGTTTTGGACATTTGATCAGTTTTTGCAGGCAGAGAAATTTTTAAAAGGCTCTCTCTTTAGCCAACCCTTGATTAAATACATTAAATAGAACTTGAATTGAAATCTTGATTAGCACCATAATATTTTCAAATGTTGAAAATGTAAACTCTGCTAAGTCTTAAAGAAACTTTTTTGCTTTTCATCAGTATGGCTGATGCTAACCTCCAGGAGAATAATTCACTGTGCCTTCTTAGACTCACATTTTCCACTGATATGAAGTGGAATGATTATATTGAATCAATTGCCAAATTTGCTACCAGGATAGTCACATTTGGTTTTCTGATCTTTGAGGTCCAGAAAACAAGTTACTGCATTTTCATTAATGCTGTATAGTGGATGATATAACATCTTAAACATAATGGTGCTGAAAAAAGTTTTATATCTTGAAATTCTTGATAAGAATCTGCTGTGTTAACGATCCTTAAATGGTATAATATTTTTTAAAAAACCTTCAATTTACATGAATTTGAAGGCTCCAGGACATATTTACCAATGTTGTCTAAATTTCATATTTAATCTATACTCTCTCAATTTACATAGAAATATTTTACCCCTGTTAACCCGATAGATTGGGAGATTGGTGCATCATATATACTAGAGTATAGGGCGAGGTTTTATAATCAGTTTTTTACACAAAAAATAGGTGGTCACACTATATACAGGGTTTCTTTTTTTTTTAGTTTTTAAGCATGTTCAGTGGTCAGTTGCACTATACACATTTAAAATTTTTCTGGAAGGGGTTGTACTATACATGAAATCAGCTTATACACAAGTATATATGACATATATATATATATATAAAGTTTAGAGTTATCTGCAGTTAAAGACATTCCTTAAGGGTATTGTAATATGTCTCTCATGGATAAGAGTAGCTTAATGTACCTGCTAAGCATCTTTGTATTAGCAAATACACAATTGGTATTTGTCACAATTTGAGTTACTGTTTTTCTTACATTGTTCTTCTGTATTGATGTTCAATTATTGTTTCTTTGTACTTTCAGGAGGTTTTGCCTTCCACGATCATTAGTACCGTGAAGGAATTATTTGTCCCCAAAGATGAACTGGAAGCAGTCAAAGAAGAAGCTGGAAAATTACCTTCTCTCAACATTACCAAGGTGGAAAAAAATTCTTCTTTTTTTTTTTTTTTTTTTTTCTCTTTTTATAATTTTGAAATGAGTTGGAATTTATGGGTAGACTGACTTGATCAGAACATGACACAAGATCAAGTTTAAAGCAAGAACCCACATGTACATGGTCTAGGGACAAAAATTGCACTAACACTCTCAACTTTTCGCTCTTTGTGGATCTTCCAGATACCAGCTAGCCCCTCCCAGGAGAGGGGTATTGCCTGGTGTTAGAGGGACAGTCACCTGGGGCTTGAGCACATTACATTAAATTTTAACTACCCAGACTGTTATGAGTTTGCAGGCAAGAGTTTTAGAAAGATGTTATTTGTGAAAAAATTGCATTTAAATTTATTGACATTAGAAGATATGAAGAAATATTAAGTATAAATATATTCTTAAACTTTTCCAGACATAACAACCAGTTCCTACTTGCCAAACACAAAGAATTTATTTACAGCCAAGTCTAATAATATCAGTGGGCTGTAGAGGAATATGTACTAATGAATCCGCCTAAGCAACATGGCAGCTTCCATGTCAGGGTGGTATACTTTAAAATTAGTAATTCAGTTTATGATTGATATTAAGGTGAAAGAAATACCAGTCAAAAATTAATAATGGCTGACAATGCTTCATCTAATCCAAATTCAAGATAATATTACTACTAATACTACTAGATGAAAAGCAAGTGAAATTAAGATGAAAGAAATACTAGTCAAAAATTAATAATGGCTGACAATGTTTCATCTAATCCAAATTCAAGATAATATTACTACTAATACTACTAGATGAAAAGCAAGTGAAATTAAGATGAAAGAAATACTAGTCAAAAATTAATAATGGCTGACAATGTTTCATCTAATCCAAATTCAAGATAATATTACAACTGATAGAAGAAACTAGAAGTTAATTTGTCTTTGTGGTATTTCACGTCTCTTTCACTAAAGTAGACTATATGACTTCTTTTTTCTCTTTTGTACTACTCTATTCAGGAATTGAACTCATGAACACCAGATAACAAGGGACATTTAACTCATGCTTTTCTTCATTAAATCTGTGTATTATCCTATAATAATTGCACTTGTCTCTCCTTTTATTAGTTTACATGGTCATTACGCCACCTCATAAATAATGGACTAATTCATTTTGATCATTTGGAAAGAAGGGAAAAGACACTATTTGGTTTCAAGGGAAAATGAAAGAAAGAAGGGAAGATAAAAGTGTTCAGCATCTCCTTGCCAATACTCATAAATAATGGACTATTCCGTTTTGATCACATTGAAAGAGGGGGAAAAGACACTACTTGGTTTCAGTGAGAAAATGAAAAAGAAGGGAAGATAGAAGGGTTTGACAACTGTTTCAGTGAAATGGAAAAAGTTTTCAATTTCAAATCTTTTAATTTGTACCCCCTTATTTGTTAAAATAACAACCAGCATTTATATTGTTGCAATATTTTATTAAAGTTGTTAAAAACATTTAACGATGCAATAGGAGAATTTCTACAGATATTTTATTGACATAGTACTCAACATGAGCTTACTCAAGCATTAACTGAGGAATTAAGATTCACCTGAATATTAAAATAGGAAAACTGAAATTTTCATAAGTTAAAACTTATAATTCTTCCTCACAAAAATTCAAAGAAAAAAAAAAATTTTTTTAAACACTTTCTTTCATCCTGAAGATTTATATTACAATCACTAATATTTTTATTTTATTTTTTTTTTTAGCTTGATCTCCAGTGGGTCCAAGTGCTAAGTGAAGGATGGGCAAGTCCCCTCCGTGGTTTCATGAGAGAAAAGGAATATCTTCAAAGTCAGCATTTTAATTGTTTAGTTGATGGTGAGTCATTTGTAAATGATTATAACTTTATTTCTGTTGACCCTCACACGGAAAAGACTACAGAAATATTTTATGTCCTGCACAAGTATATGCATACCTTATGACCATTGCATGTACATTAGGGCAGGTGGATTTTTCACTTTTTTTGTTTTTAGAAAATCAAAATCACATTCAATGTGAAAGCTGGGGTTTGATGTGATAAATACTGAACCCAAAAATTAGATTAATTACTTTTACCAATTTTTGAGCATTTAGTCTTAAAAATCATCTACAAAAAAAAAAAAAATTACAGAAATACTTAATTTCCACAGGTTTTTGATTACAAACCAACTTTACTATTTCAAGAATAAATCTGAGTAAATTTGATATTTTTTTGTATTAGATTCACTGAATGGAAAATATCTATAAACCAGAATTCTAATTATGAAATCACCACAAGCAAAATATGCAATTTTTACTGTATTGAATAAGTAAAAATTGTATGAAAGTTATAAAAGATTACAATAAGGTTTACCAATAAATAAGATTATGCTGATGAACTTCGCCCGTACATGCGTATTTGATTATCTTTACACATATGTGTACCTGATGATCTTTGTATGTACTTTTACTTACGACTTCATTCAAGCATTTTTTATGGCTTATCAACACTTTGCAGGTTATTTAAAGCCAGAAAATATTTTTAGAGTATAAACTTTTTTTTTCTTTTTCTTTTTTTAGATAATGATTTAGCAGTTTACTAATTAATCCATAGCTGAGTCAGGGGAGAATATGTGGATTCATGCCTTTCCCAAAGTTATCTGAGCTTCCAGTCTCGATAGAGTCCAAAAGCCTCTCCACATCCTTGTGGGTGGCAAATTATTTTACACCCTACAACCCCTTTCTCACAGGCAAAATATCACAAGCCCCCCCCTCTCTCTCTGCTCTATTGTTATTTCAATGGAAAGTGCTCAGAAAAACTACATTCCTTAGTTCTACCAGTTCTAACCTTTATGGCTAAGACTTGCGATGCTACACACATTGTAGCAAACCACTCTCACTCATTTTATTCCATTGATGAGATACAAGTTCCACTCAAGCAGGCTATCTTGTACTAGACACACCCACTGTTGCTACAGATGCAGTACATGTGGTACCCCTATGACACTAATGGTTTATAAGATGGGACTCAACATTGAGTATAAGGCTAGCAAGTTCACCTCATAAAAACTACTTGCTACTTAAACTGCAACAACCTCACCCAGCTGGTATTGCTCCACAAGGAATGTGAAGCAATAACAACAATATATTACACTACAGTTAGGTTAGGATTCCTTTCCTGCTACTGATATCATGTAAACCTTTTACCCGAAGGATACAGAAGGTTCTGCATTGATACCCTAATAACCTCCTAGATTAGAGATAGTGAACCACTGACTCATGGGTCATGAACTAACCTACCATCAACCTTTTAGTGACCCACAAGGTATCAGTGAAATGATGTCATGAAATATGGCTCAGCCAATCAAATTTCACAATTTTTTGAGTTTTATTTGCACCTTGTGTATCCCTAAACACATCTAGATAATACTCACCCAGTTTTATAATGTTTTGTACAGCTGTAATGTCTGCTCAGATAATTTAAAATTTGTGGCTATTCTGAATTCATTTGTGATGGTTCCTTTTAGACTGTAAGAATAACGCATAAAAATGGCCAAAAAGAAAAGGGGAAATAAACTCAGAATGTAGTAGAAGTGGGAGGCTCTTTTTCATGAAGAGTGGAGAGAAAAATATGATGTTATTGAGCAAAATAAAATCTTTCTGCTGTATTTGCAAGGAGCCAATTGTTGCACGCTCATATAATATTAAACATTTTGAAAGTGACCATCAGAATTTATGCTCAATGACAGATGAAAAGAAGAATTAAATTATTCAGAGAGAAGTAAAGCAACAAGAACAACACTAATAATTTCAAGAGGATGTTTAAACCAAAAAACAAGAACAATATTTCTGAAGCCAGTTTTCAGTTATCCTCTACTGTTGCTGAGCTTGGGAAGCCACTCTCTGATAATAGTTATTTAAAAGAGGCCTTTTTGAACTGCTCAGATTTTTTTTTGTTTGAAGACTTTTAGAATAAAGATGAAATCCTCAAAAGAATTAATGATTTGTCAGTCATTAGTAATATGATTAAAGATAGAATAATTGCTATGGCCTAAGATATAACTGATCAACTTGTACTAGATTTGAAAAATGCAGGTATGTTTTCAATTTGTTTGAATGAAAGTACAGTCATTACATCAATTGCTTGTTTAGGAGTTGTTGCAAGATTTCCTTCTGGAAATATAATAGAAGAACAACTGATCAATTAAAGAAGGAATTTATTGTACTTGGCAAGAAATTTGGAAATATTGTAAAGGTTGTTTAATTAAGATCAAAGTCAGCAGTAAATAAATCAATGTTATTGGTGAAAATTTATTTATTTCTCTATTGGATCATGTTATTTAAGTCATGGCAATTATGTGTGAAAAATAATATAGCCCAAATGTCCACCGAGACTTTGGTGGCATACCTCCACTCGATGGTCAAAATTTTTGATGACGTCTCTGCATAGTTGATCCTCGATTTCACCAATATGCCTTATTATCTCATTCTTCAGCTGTTGAATTGTTGTTGGCTTGTTGGTATAGACCTTAATTTTTAGATGACAACGAAGGAAGAAATCTAAAGGTGTCAAGTTGCACAATCATGGTGGCCAATGAACTTTGCTGTTTCAAGAGATGATGCAACCTGGGAACTTCTCATTCAGCTTCTGTTTGAACATCCATAGGCTTTGATAACTTCAACACATTGTTTGATTGTTAATCTTTCCATGGTTGAAATTGCCAAAGACTTAAGTTGTTAAGTCTGAAAGAAAAAGAAAAAAATCGTTAAACGCTTAAACTTAATTCACATTTAAAATAAGTCTAAGTTATTGGAACACCCTTCTGTGACAACAAACAGCTCCAAAAATGATTGGAAAAAAAATGCTGGATTTGTGCAATTACTGAAACAAGAAGTAAACCACAATTTAGTTGAATTTATTGCATTTTGCATCAAGGATCTTTATGTGCAAAAACTAGTTTGAAATTACTAGAAAATATCATGCTTCTTGTAACAAAAATTGTGAATTTTATAGTTGCTCATGCACTTAAACATCAATTCACCAAGCTATTGAATAAAGTTAACTGTCAATTTTCTGGGTTACTCCTGTACAACAATATGAGATGGTTAAGACGTGGCCAAGTGTTAAATTGATTTGTGGAGTTGCTGGAAGAAAGAAGACTTTTCTTAAACAAAAAAAGGAATGACTATTGGGAACTCACCGATATTAAATGGTTGAATGACTTTAGTTTTTTTTTCTGCAGATTTCACGTTTCATTACAATAACTTGAAAAAAAATTGCAAGGTAATGCAATTGTTCTACCATCAATATTTGGGCATATTAAAGCTTTTGAAAGAAAACTAGAAATATTTTCATGAGATCTGGAAGAAAGCAAGCTGAAATATTTTCCATTATTAAAGTAGCATTTCTTAAAAAGTTTTTCAACTGATGGTGCAAAAGAGAGAGAAACTGTACTCAAAAATTATTCGTCACTAGTAAAGGATGCCAAGCATTTACTTTCAGTGAATACTTCTGAGAACTAGATATCACTTTAATTCATTCAATTTCACGATCTTAAGCTATCCAGGTTTGATTGGCTTATTCTAAATACTTTCGAAATGGAATTAATAGACTTCCAAGAATGTGCAGTGTGGAAGACAAAATTTATCAACCTTAACCTGAAGTTACTAGAAAAGGAAGTAAGACCATTAGCCTATGTAACGAAAGAAAATGAGCCCTTAGAAAGCGGTGCTGTGAAATTCATTCTTTCAGAATGAAAATCCTTGCTTAACTCTTTTGCATCAATGAAAAAGATAGCCTTAGCAATGCTGACCATTTTTTGTTCTTCATGCTCATATGAAACATTTTTATCCATGATCTATGTAAAATCAACCACTAGGAATCGTTTTTGTATGGATACGAGTGCAGAATGTGTTAAACTGAAGACAAAAAAGTATGAACCTCAGATTAAAATATTAGCAACTAAAATACAGCAACAAGTTACTCATCAAAAAAAAATATCAGTAAGTATATAAGGAACTTATTTATGTTTAAGAAAAAACTTTAAAAGTATCAAAAATGACCTGGTAATTTTAAAAGTACACTGTCTATGTCCTAGATCATGGCATCATACACCTTTTAGGCATGTTTTGGTTTTGTTATCTGCAAGAAAATGTTTTTAAAATTTTTACATTATTCTTCTGTTTATATTTAAAAAATGGACTGAAAAGGCCATTTTTTTTTTTTTTTTTTCAAATAACGTTTGATACTGATAGAGAAAAATGGTAAGTAATATCTGCCTGCCAATCTTCTATATGCATGGGTTCTTTAACTCTGATAGTCTTTCTTCTGAACTGGGTTTACTCAGAGATTAAATTTTGTTTTAACATGATATTGATATGCTCTACAAAGGTTGTGATCTTTGCTTTGTGAAATGGGTTTTCCTTGTTCTTGTCAAATTGACATCATTTGATTAAAATATTTGCGTATAACTTTTTTTACATGTTTTATTAGCTGCAGTTATTTCCTTGAACATTTTTAAGGCATTTTAATCAGCAGCATAGGTTTTTCTTTTTTGCTACGAAAAACTTCATAAATACAAGATCTGTCCAGAAAGGATCCAACTATTTAATATTAGCAAAAAAATGTAACGTATCTGGAGCAGTGGTGACTTTCAAAGTGCTCCTTTGGACTTCAGACTTATCATATTGTGTCTCTACTTTTCAAAATAATCTGCAAAATTCTCTTTCAGAATCACCATCAGCCATCTCATTATATTATTCTTAATCCCTGGTGTTTCAATCATGATTTTAGCTTCGAGAAAAGCCAAAGGTCAAAAGGAACCAAATCAGTTCTTTAACTATGAAAGGTCTGCTCAGAAAAAATCCAGTTATGAAAAATTAACTCACTTGTGCCGTGTGTGTGTGTGTGTGTGTGTGGAGAGGGTGATGGGCTTTATTTAATAATGAAAAATTAGCCTACCTAAAGTATCCATTGGAGTGAGGGGTATTTCATTTTAAAATACTCTTCTTAGGATACCTTACAATTTTATCAATATCCTTTCCAATTTTCTTTAATCTCATCCACAGTTTTAATTCTCCTTTCTTTCAACTGGGCTAGACAAATATTACAGGGTGCCAAATTGGGTATGCAGGAATGGATGACAAACCTGGGAGATGAAATGTTTTGCAAAAAAAAAAAAAAAAAAAAAAACCTGCACAAGTTGTCATTTTGAATATAATGGCCACACAGTATACAAGTTCACACAATAGCACCTTACTGCCAACTTTTTTTATAGTAAAGTTCGCCTAATGCATGGCTTGAGAGGCACCCAAAGTAGAAGGTTACTGAATGTGTGATATGAATGTAAGGGGAGGTAATAGGAGGTGAAGATTATAAAAAATAACGACAGATAACGATTATCTCTTGATTTGAAGAAGTTAAGATTGTAGTATTCAGGTAAGAATCCATGCTAGAATTTGTTCCCTAAAGTAGCAGTTCTTGGAGGAAAAAACTGAGTAAAACTTCCTCCTTACAATTGGAAAACAGAGGAAATGAAGGTGATTCAACTCCATGAACATAACATGGCATGTGCTAGCTGGGAAAGCCTGAAGTGATGAAACTAAAGAATGGAATGCTCACCTGAACATTTGCCATGGAAATAGCAATAATGGTGTCTGTCTGTTCATGTACAGTAAAACCCCTCTGTTGTATCAAGGTTGCACAACCAGTTCTTGAGATATTCAAAATGGCTGGGACATTCCAAACAGACGTGTTAAAGCAAGAAGAAAAATTAATAACAAAAAAAAGATGGGTAACAAAAAATAGCATCACTACAAAAGGGTAATATCAAAACATGATCAACAAAAACACGGCTAAACCAGCTTATCAGTCCTCAATACTGAAGAAGGCTAATTCTGAATTTCATTTGAAGGTATTGGAATCTTATTTACATTAAGCCCTACCAGCCATCTCTCTGTATGTGGAAGTAGTGGTTGTTAGGCTTAAAAATAATTAACCTGTAAGTGGTTGTGGGGGATTTTTTTGTAACATTTAGTCTTAGGTGTTCATTTTTTGCAATTGTGCACATTTTTCATCCTCGATTTAGCTCTGATGAGAGGACCAATAAACTGGTTTAGCTATTTTTTTTTTGTTTTGATATTAACACTTATTATCTTTTTATTTACAGTGTTATCCTCATCTTTATTGTCATATTCATGACATTCAGCCTTCTTTGGCTGAATTTCAAACTAAACCCTTTATTTAGTCCACGGGGATACATTATTCTAGTTCCACATGTCATGACTTTACCGGATATCTCGGTTTCAGTTATTACCCTTTAGCAATTCAACTCTCCAAGTTTTTGTTCACTTCTGCCTTTGACCAGGTATTGAACTCACAATTCTTTGGGTCAAGTCACTTTTGGATTACTTCAGCCAATGCTTTTATCCACTGTATATCACCTGAAGAAAGCCAGCGTGTACAATGGCTGAAATGTCATGAATATGATAAAAATGGGGACAACAGTTTGAACAATGTAAATAATGTAAATAGTTACAATACCTCATCTCAGAAAGACAGATATTATCTTTTTTATATTAAGTTTTCTTCTTGTTTTAGTGTGTCCATTTTTATCACCTTAATAAAATTTTGTACCTTTGCAAAAATATTCCAAACAGACTTTATTCATTTTTCAGTAAGCATTAAAATGAAAAGAAATTTGAAAATAGTACATGACTGGTATAGTGTTTAAATAAAAGAGTCTGGAACCATCTTCTTGAAATTGTTGGCGTTTGTTTAAATTGTCAGTCTGGTTTTAGAAACATAAATATTTTTACATTTTTTTTCTTTTCTTTGTATGTTTCTGACCTAAACTTTGATTGAAAGTCAAATTTCTTCTCTCCAAAACGTCAATCAAATTATTGGTTGTGGACTTAGAAATTCTTGTTTCTTTCTGGTATTTTCTCTGTTTATCTTCCATTATTGAGAGGAGGAAGGCTAACTTGCTGTTGTTTAAAATTTTTCATTAAGATGAAGAACAACCAGAAAGTTGAAAGTGGTACATGATTGGTATAGTGTTTACATAAAAGAATCTAGAAGCATGTTCTTGAAACTGTTGGCGTTTGTTTAATTGGTATGTCTGGTTTTAGGAACTTAAATATTTCTAGTTTTATTTTTGAGAAGAATAATTGCTAAAATCCTTTTTTTTTTTTTTTTTTCTTTTTTTTTTTTTTTGATTTATTCAAACAATTTTTCTCATCTTAATTGTTATAGGTGTCATTATAGACACATTTTGGTCAAGTACCATCATGCCATCATCAAGTGTCCATTGTTTTGGCTGATATAGAACAAGTAACACAATAACCAACAGATATCTGATATCAGCTAAAATAATGGCCACCTGATGATGACCAGAGAGTGATTTGCCAAAATGTGTAGAATCTGTAATAATTAAGATAGAACATTAGTTTAAATAAATTTTTTAAATATATTAAATATTTCTTCTTTTTTTCTTTTTTTTTTTTGCTGACCTAAAATATGACCAAAAGTCTAATTTCTTCTCTCTCGTAAATGTCAGTCAATCTATTGGTTGTGGACTTAGCAATCCCTGTATCTCTTTGGTATTTTCACAGTCTACTTTTCTCTTTTTGAGGGTTTTCATTTGCTGTTGTCTAAAATCAACTTGTCTTGAGACTTTTCTTTTCTATGGCCTATCTCTGTTGGCGGAAATTGTATCATTTTATTAAAATTCAATCCCGAAACAAATTATTACTTTTTTTCCATTCATTTACTTATTTTATTGGTTGTTTCCCAATTAACAGGCTCATCTGCTGCTCAAAAAACGTCTCAGGGTTTGCAAGTTAAGTATTTTGATTTGACTATTACGAGTTGGTAATTTGGTATGGTAAAAATAGCAAGTATTTTATTTCAACTCTCAGACCATCACCCTACAGTTGTTAGCATGTCACAAAGATCAGAAACAAACAGTAATTATTCGGACTATTGTCCTTGTGTCACCATATTTCTTACAACATTTCGCCTGTTGTACACTTCAGCTTTCTTCAGGTGGTTGGAATGTCGAACTGAACCCTTTATTTCGCTCACTGGTGTAGACTGTTCTAGTTCCACATGCCATGTTTAATGGATGTCAGTTATCAGTTATCTCCTGTTAATTTTCCCTCTGAAAGTTCTCCACTGCCTTATTGAACTCACACTCTTTGGGTCCTATCACTGGATCTAACTAATGCCTTCATCCACTGTGCCATGTGTTCTTGAGGATGTCTGTGTATGAATTTCTGGGTATTATAAACCTAATGTCTTCAGCAACCTTTTTTTTTTTACCAGTACTCATATTGCAATTTTTGCTGTTACCATCCATGTTTGTACCAGAGCTCTTGCAAAAGAGTTCAGTTCGACATTCCAACCACCTGAAGAAGGTCGGAGCATACGACGGCCAAAACGTTGTAATAATTATGGTGACAGAGATGAGGACAATAGTCCGAATAATGTAAATAATGTACATAATACCTCATCTCAGAAATATAGACAGATAACAAACAGTAAGTTGTGAGGATTACCCCACCTTGTCTGCCAGGATGCTTGCAAGATACCATTCTATTCAGGACTATAAAAATAACAGGCATGGACCCTTTCCTCCTTTTTTGTTCACTTGGAAACAGGATGCAGTAGGTAGTAGACATATCCAGTCTTCTTTTCTGTGTAGACTTAGTCGCCTGGCAGCTAACTACCTAAATTTCAAACCAGCCACATGATACACACACATTATGGCTAAGAACATAAATATTTTCTTTCTTTTTTGAGCTATCTGCACATATGTAGATATAATTTTTTCTTTCTCTTCTTTTGTGGGTGATGTTGTTCTTGACATTAAAATATATGTGTAATGTTCCTTCACTTGTTGAAATTTCTTTCTTTTGAAAATGTCGAATTCATTTACTTTGAAAGTTTTCATTGAAATCAGCAAGAAGTCATAACTCATCTTACCACAGTCCTGGGTATGATGATAAACTACATCTGGCAGCAAGACCTCTGATCAGGTGATTGGAATTTTTGAGGAGAGTGGAACCATCTCATAACTGCTGTTGTTTCCAGGTCCACCCTGACCTGGGGTAGGGAGTACCTCTTACGTTCTCGGCTATGGACAAACAGTGAACCCTCAAACAAAAACAAAACACTATGAATGTATAAAAATACATATTTATATAAAAACATTACCAACAGTACATATTTATAGTAGAATTAACAACAATACAGTTGAAGGCATACAATTGCATTCAAAATATATTTGATTGAAGGCATACAATTGCATTCAAAATATATTTGATTGAAGGCATACAATTGCATTCAAAATATATTTGATTGAAGGCATACAATTGCATTCAAAATATATTTGATTGAAGGCATACAATTGCATTCAAAATATATTTGATTGAAGGCATACAATTGCATTCAAAATATATTTGCTTGAAGGCATACAATTGCATTCAAAATATATTTGATTGACGGCATACAATTGCATTCAAAATATATTTGATTGAAGGCATAAAATTGTATTCAAAACATTTTGATTTTGTCATTAAATAACCCTTAGAAGTTGATATGCCGTTAAACAAAATCAACCAACCAAACTTCTGCCACAAATTGGTGACCAACATCAATTTTGTCCATTACAATATTGTTGCACAGAACGCTATGAAAATCTCCAGCAAAACTTAAAAAAGAGATACCAGTTCAAATCTCACCGAAGCCTTTTTTTTTTCCCAATTTGTGCTGCTTAACAACAAGTATTAAATGATGGTTTGAGAATTGTAAGCAATAGAAATTAAGAAACAAGAAATAAATGCTTGTCAGAAATTAATAATGGTTTATTAAAGAAATTTAAATAACATTAGTGTTTTGTTTATAAAGGCTTCAATTTATGTATGAATTTTTAAGACAATGAATTATCATTATACACTATTCATTTTAACTGTTATACTCATTTTGATTGTTTTTATATTCCCATAAGTTTTGGCTACTGTACTCATAGCCTTTTTCAGGTGTTTGTTACATATGATCTTTATAATGCCCCTTCTGTTCATTCAGTCTGATTTAAATACAGAGATAAAAAAAAAAAAATAAGCAGTGACCTCTGGGAAATCAAGTTAGTAATAAAGTAGAAGTTTAAAATAATAGAATTTATTTTTCAGAGATCTTTTTTGTATTCTTTATTTTTAATTTCTGAGAATCACTATTTTTGGCAATGTTTCCTATTTTTACTTTGTTTAATTGGGCAGAACAAGCAGAAATGGCATTGGAAAGACCAAATGCTATAAACCCCCTGAAGAAACTGGAGTGTCATTGGCTAAAAGATTATGAATATTATTAAACAGCCAAAATGAGAGTAGTCTGAATGAATTGTCTAAAGACATTGTTTTTTGGAAGAAGAGTCTGATCTGAGAGTATGCTTGGTACTGTTGCAGTAATTAGCTCGTCTTTTCTCCTTATTGTCTCTCACTTGAATCTTTCACGTGTGTTCGCCATTTTCTTTCCCTGTTCTAAAAAGCTGGAGGAGAGAAATTTTGTTTTATTTACTTCTTTTTTAATATGTAAACAATTTTGCATATTTGATTGCATATACAAAGTATACATGTATTCACCCCTTACATTTCATTCAGCAAGAGACATTCAGGAAAATAATTTTACTCTATAACAATCAAAACTAAACTAAAGTTGAACCTCATTTTCACATATCATTGCAGGATGTTATTTTTATTTATTCAAATCATTTTTTCTTTTGCATAAAAATATGCATCCCATGTTATCAAAATGTGGTATATTCCATCAAAAATATTGTGATTATTTACATATGGATAAATTATAAAATATATATTTTTATTACTTCAAACATTATATAGTGTCTACTTTGTATTTAAAACAGACACCCCATTTTTATTTACTAAACAGTGTATATTACATTTATAGGCTTGTGCATTCAAGAAATCCTGGTCAGGAAAATCTGTATAAATATCGGATTTAAAATAAATACATTAATTCTTTAGAAACATATATTGCAAACAAAAAAAAAATGTCAAACAAAACCTTTTTCCTAAAGTTTTACTTAATCCGTTTATTTTTTATTTTATTTTTTTTTTTTTTAAATTTTAAAACAATATGCCATCAAAACTGAGAAATCATTAGGAACTGTAGTGGCAGGGATTACCAGGACTAATTGCCTACCTCAAATGAACACACTATCACAGTAGAGCCCATTTTTGTTTGTGTGTTTCTAGAACTCCATTTCTCTCTTTTAGTTTTCTTGGTTTGACAGAAAACAGACTAAAAAACAGCTTTTATATGTTATCAGTTTTGTGATAAATAGATTGTCAAATCCTGTGATAAATTACACTATTTATTTTCTATATTTAATTTTTGTTTTATAAGCTAATATTGTTTTGTCATAAGACACTTTTTTTTACCTCGAGTTACAGAACTAATATAGAAATTTACAAATCTGCTCAGTATTAATATTAACAATTTCATAAGTGGCAAATTTGAAATAAAAAAGAGTTGACTCATTGATAATTTAGAAAAATTATTATCATTTTTATTCCTTATTTTAAGCTTTTCCAGTTCAGCCCTTTTTTTAAATATTGCCTCATTGAATGAATTTTACTGGCTGTTTCCAGGTAGTGTAATCAACCAGTCAGTTCCGATAGTGTTACCTGTGCACACAGAAGACAAAGAGAGGTTGGCAGGTCATGATGCCTTTGTGTTATGTTATGAAGGACAGAATGTTGCCATTCTTAGACAACCAGAATTTTATAACCACAACAAAGAGGAAAGATGTTGCCGTCAATTTGGTACATCCAATAAAGGCCACCCTTACATCAAGGTAAGCTGTTGAATTTTGATAACAAGGTTGCTTTTTTTTTCTTCTTATACTGACAATAGTGAAAATACTATCTCTTTCCCATAATAATTGTTACATTTAACATGTAAAATGTGTATGTAACTGTAACAACTATTATGGGACAAAGATATTATCGTTTATTACCACTGTCCCATAATAATTGTTACATTTAACATGTGAAATGTGTATGTAACTGTAACAACTATTATGGGACAAAGGTATTATCATTTATTGCCCCCATAATAATTGTTACATTTGGCATATTTACTTGTTTTTTGTCTTCTTTTTATTCTCTTTTTTCTTCTTCCTTATTTAAAAATTTTCTAAAATTTAAAAATGGAAAACGGGTAACTATTTTGTTTGTCAAGTATTACATTATCTAACTAATAAGTAATGTTAAAAAAAATGAACAGTTATAAATAGATAAATTTTAAAATATAAGCCAATAATAAAAATACATATTTGAATATCTGTCTCTATTAAAAATTTTTGAATATTCTGATTTTTTTTTTTTTTTTTTTTTCATGTTTAAAAGGAAATTTCAGATTTTTTTGTTAAAAAAAAATGGACAATTAGATACAGAAATTTACATTTATTAAAAAAATATCGAAATATAAAAGATGTATCCATTTACTATGGAAATATTATAAATCAAATTTTCAGGTTAAAATACTAATGATTATGATGTTTGGAAAATTTCCAAAAATATACATAACATAATGTTCTTTTTTTAAAAAAAAAAAATATAAAAACTATTAGAGTGGTCACCACATTCACCCAATTTAAACTCTATAGAAAATATATGGAATTTAATGAAAAGAAAAATGGAAGGCAAAATCTTTAAAAATATTGATGAATTAAAAGAAGAAATTATAGATATTTGTAATAACATCAATAAACATTTAATTTCTAAGCTAATTTTTTCAATGCAAAAAAGAGCAAAAGCATTGAAGAATGTGAAGAAACCGTTCCTACTTGCCAGCATAAGAAGTTGACAAAAAAGGAATGAGAAGAATTTTTCAGGCTCATTGAAGAATTTAATGGAAAATGTTTAGAAGCAGACACTGATGAAGACAGTAGCTGACAAATTTGCAAAAAAATTGAATGGGCAATTTCTCAGTACCGCCAATTACAGAAGAATACCATGCTGCAAACGACTCTAAATAAATTTTCATAAAAAATCAGATTAATAAACATTAATTCATAGCATTTTTTTCTATCTTCTTATATGTACGTATATTTTATTTAAAAAGTACACAAATTAGAAATTAATTGTGAATAAGAATAAAATTTGAAGTACAAATTACATCATTTCCTATAAGTTATTATATTTGTTTAATGTGTTTTCAATTAGTGTGTATCTTTTAATGTACACATTAGCCACACTGAGGGATTACTATATATAAAGTAACGAAAATCTTGGTAATCCGTATGGATAATCCCAAGGAGGATGAAATACTGAGAGCTCAATGTTAATTCAGAGTGAATTTAATTTAAAGAAAAACAGACCACTTTAAGGCTGTTTTTCTTTAAATTATATATATATATATATATATATATATATATATATATTTTAAAAAATTTTTGTTTTAAATTCAGTTGAAAATATCTCCAACACTTTGTGAATTGAAGAAATCAATTTTATTTCTTCAAAATGCCAAAGAATCAGAGTTAGCATGAAAGACTTTGTGACATGTGGTTTTGAAGTTCTGCAGAGTTTGTGACTTGAAGAACTCAAGTTTTGGCCTGCATTGAACTTTGCACAAATCAGTCTTTTGGTTGGAATTGGACTTATGGCTTGAATCAGAGCCAAAGTAAGGTTTTGAAGTTACATCGAGTGAATTGAGGAATTCAAAGTTATTTCTCCCAAATTATTTTGTAAGCTGGACCAGGTGTCCATTTAGTTTTGGGCTGAAGGCCCAATTAGCCCTCTACAGAAGTTAGCTTAAAAGTCTCCGTGGAGTGCAGTTATTAAGCTAGTATATGTAAAATGACAACAGGACTATGAGCTGTAACATGCACTGAGAGAAGGCCAAAGAATATATCAGCCAAAATCTAGTAATAGCAGTGATGATGAAGATGCAAGTATGCATGATTTCTGAAATAATTACAATGCTTCATCTCAGAATTTCAAATAGCAAAACATTTTATGATTCCAAGAATTATTAAAACCAATATCATCAGATTTATTGTTTTTATCACACTGACACATTTCACATTGTCTGCCATAGCTGGTAATCTTCAAAGAGAATCCGCAAAAGCAGACAGCTATTTTGTTTACATTTTCAACCTTTGACCTAATAAAGATTTTATTTCACAGATTTGTTGACTTAGTAAAATATGATTGAACAAAATCAGATGGAATTCTTAAACCTTTAAAGCCATATTCAAAGACTTTCCTTTTGCTAATATTCTTCAGATGATCTACGAAAGTGGCGATTGGCTGGTGGGTGGAGATTTGGAGGTGTTTGAGCGAATTTGCTGGAATGATGGGCTTGATGAATACCGTCTCACCCCCAAAGAATTACGAGAGAGATTTAAAAAACTTAAGGTAACTGCCTAAAAAGAAATATTCCTTCAAGTTTGGAATTTTCTCTCATTTTTTTTTTTAATAAGATCTTCATTTTTTATAAGATCTTCATTTTTATATTTTCTGTACAACTTGTATATTTTTTTGTACTTCTTTAATTGGCTTTAACTATGTCACAATTTATTGGGCCATTTAATGTTAATGAAAAACATGAACTCCATAGGGCATTATTCCAGAATCCTATCCACTTAAAAAGAACTTTTTTTTTTTTTTTTCACAAAGTCTTTTAGGATTTCCATCAACTGCCCAGTCACTATGTCATGCTAAACAATTTTTCTCACCAGATTCTATCTTACATATTTATAAGTCTACCATTTGTTCATGCTTAGAATATTGCTGCCACATGTGGCCTGCTGCTCCTACTACATATTTAAAGATTCTTGATAAAATCTAAAGAAGAATCTGCAATGTTATTTGTCCTGATCTGGCATCTTGGCTTCAGTCATTTTTTTCCCACCGCTGTAATGTAGCTTCCCTCTGCCTTTTCTATTAATACTTTCATGGCAATTGTTCTAACAAACTTTGCTGAAATTAGTTTTAATTTTATTAGTTTTAGAGTGTTGTAAATATAAAATTATTCTTCTAAATAAACAATCTAACAAATAAATAGTGTTTAATATTGTAAATTCTCAAGAACAAAAAAAACCTATAAATTCACTTTCATATGGTTAGGTTTTATTACAATTCTAATCATTGCTTTTTACAACAACAAACATTGTGAAAGATTGAAGGTAGTTAGAATAATAGTAGTGTCAATGGAAAAATCATCCTATTGACATTGTTGTTTTTTTTGGTTTTTTTTGTGGGAACGAAGATTTAATTTTGCCAAATAAATTCTAATATAAGTTATGCATTTATAATTTTGGCTAATTCCAAAACATTTATTTTTTTAGGCTGATGCTGTATTTGCATTCCAGTTAAGGAACCCAATTCATAATGGTCATGCACTTTTAATGGCTGACACAAGACGTAAATTGGAAGAAAGAGGTTATCGAAACCCTGTTCTGCTTTTGCATCCTCTTGGTGAGTTGTTCTATTCATTAAAAAATGACGTGGTTATATCCCTTTATTTGCCAAAAGGTTGCTAAAAAATTCATTTAAAAAATATATGGCAGAGATTTAAATTTACAATGAAATCTGTGACTTGAAGTATGTTTGTGTCGCACACACACGCACACAAAATAATTGAAAAACAGAATAAAATCTTGGAATAGATTAAAGAAGCTTAAATAAAGTCACAAACTTTATTCCAAGAATTATAATCATCATTGTCAGTTCCATGACTAAGTGTGGTCTTCTGACTACTGAGCACCTGACCAATTTCCACCACAGATGTTTGGGCTGGGAGCCAGATAGATATTCATTCATGTGTAGTGTGTCTTGGGCAAATAGACTTGGTGGAATCCATCCATCTCCAGGTACAACCCCCCCATCTGATATCCTGCAATTTGATAGCTTGTCTTGGAGGAAACTCTCTACCTTTGCTGTTGGGTCTAGGAAGTCCTCCGCCTAGCAATACCATGTCATTACCTTACTGTCTGCATACATAGCTATGGATTACAGTCTACTTCATTGTGCTAGATCAGTGATTTTCAACCAGTGTACCATGGCACACCAGTGTGCCATGAAGGGATTGTTGATATGACACATTAGGTCATTAATTAAATTATTTTTGCAAGAAGTCCAAAGCACAATAAGGGCATATATCAAAATTAAACAGATTATACAAGTATATCATTGTTATCATAAATAAATGTTTATGTAATATATAAAACAATATAAAAAGCAAGCTTTTCTGCAATAAACAATATTAAAAACAAAAATTGATCATGGCTAGAATCCTTGGAAGAAGATTTAAGAGTATGCTTATTCAAAATTGCAAAGAAAATAAAATTGTCAAACTCAGATATCTCATTAAATGTTAAATTATAAACAGAAAAATAAAGTTTTTTTGGGGTTTTTTTTTTTAAGAGTTTTAATTATTATCTTTTTTATTACAAATTATAATGGCTTATGGCCTCATCACATTGGCACACCAGTTCCTGTACAATCACTAAAGTTAAGCAATGTTGAGCCTGGTCAGTACCTTGATGGGTGACCACTTGGAAATACCAGGTGCTGTAAACTTGTATATACAGGTAGTGTAATGGATAATGGCTCAGAATTGTTAACCAGGAGAGCCAAGTTCCAATTCCAATTGGGTTTGTTATATTCACTTATGTGCAAATACCCTTGGGAAAGTTATGAATCCAACTACCCCCTGCTATGGGTTAATTAGTAAGACTTGTATCAATAAACCATTATTATCTCAAAAAAAAAAAAAATCTTACAATATGAAAATATTTTCTGCTTTTTAAATAACCTGCAAAGAGTTGATAAGCTGTAGAAAATGAATGAATCAACCAATGAAATACTAATTGGCTACACAAGCATGACTTTTAGATTTATTTTCATTTTCTAGAATATAAATGTGTAGAAACAAACATATTGATTGTAATATAGAAGTGATCCCCGTCTTTATATCCACATTATTTCTTGTTTTTTTATCAAATTTTGATTAGGTATGAATCCAAGTCTTCTCCTCCCACCTATGGGTTAGTTAGTAAGACTTGTATCAATAAACCATTATTATCAAAAAAAAAAATTACAATCTAAAAATATTTTCTGGCTTTAAATAACCTGCAAAATTTAAGTCATAGAAAATAAACAATCATATGAATGACTCAATCTGACAATTTTGATTATATAAGCAGTGTCATGTTTGTAGCATCCATGATTACAAGAGAAGTCAGCCAGTTCTTATATATTAGAAAAATATATTTCTCTAATATTGAAGATAAACCTGAAACAATATCTCTGATTAAGTAGTTTGAAAAAAATTCTTAAATGTTTTACCATTTTTTTTTTTTTTTTTTTCATCTTCCCAAGGTGGTTGGACCAAAGATGATGATGTTCCACTTCCAGTTCGCATCAAGCAGCATAAAGCTATCCTTCAAGCTAAAGTTCTGGATCCTGAATCCACAGTTCTTGCTATTTTCCCTTCTCCAATGATGTATGCAGGACCAACAGAAGTAAGTTCATTTCATTGGTTGATAGAAAGAAGCCTCCATGAACATGTTGTTGAGCTTCAGACTAAGTTTTCTCACCATTGTCTCAGAACTGTCCCTTGTAAATTTAAACCATCCTGAAATCAAAATGTTTTTTTGTTTAAAAAAAAAACATCAATATCATTTATAGGAGTTGGAAACATAAAAACACTATTAAAATATTTAGGAACACCATTAAAAACACATCATTAAAATATTTAGGAACACCATTAAAAACACACACCATTACAAAAAACATCATTAAAATATTTAGGAAGTAGTTACTTTGATTCATTCAGTATTGTTTAACAGCTAGATCAAGCTGAAAATGGAGGACTGTGGCCATATTTGGGCGGGAGCTGTTCAATCCTCACTTTCCAGTCTTGATAGTTAAAAGTGTCTGAGTCCTTGTTGGAGAAGAATTATTTTCCACCCCTCAACCTCACTTCCACAGATGGGATGTGGCAAGTCTCTCACTGCTCTGTCACTACTTCTATGGAAAGTGCTTGAATGAGCTACATTCCTTGGTTCTACCAGGTCTAACCTTCATGGCTATGACCTGCCATGCAATTCACATAGTGGCAACCCACCCACATATTCCATCAGCAAGAACTAAATTCCACTCAAACTGCTTCTTCCTTCAAACAGACTCCCAAGAGGATGATTCCTCAATCACTACAATCTTAACATGTTCAAGTTAACCATTATCTTCCCCTCCTATCCATATAAATGTAGCCCTCTATGTTGAGTGGCCCTCAGGCCTTGTACAAAATGAACCTTACTGTAAAAAAAAAAATCTCAAAAATATCACATTTATCATTCTACGAATACACAGAGAAACAATATCCTACAATATTACCTTATTGTTATTCGTTTTGATTGTTAACTTAAGGCTTTGTATTCCAGCTTCTTGTCTGTTTGTTGATATAGATTTTTTCCTGAGACAGAAGTGTCGCTTTTCCACTTTCCTCTTATGACCTTCTGTTTTGATTTGTGTTTGTGGCATTTTAACACACTAGGAGTCAGTGAATTAATCCATATAAACTACCTCTTAACATGACCCTCTACCTCGAACTCCCACCCAGCCTTGTACAGGGTGAATCTTACTATAAAAAAATAAAATAATTTTTTTTAATGAGAGTAGTACAGGCTGTTAAAAAAAAATTTTAAAGCTAAAATTTAAAAAAAAAATAATAGTTAAATTTTGCTATAATTTTTATAAAAAAAACACAACTTTATTTTTATCTACAAATTTAACTTAAATCCCCTGAAATAATTTTACACAGAAATGTTCTTTTTAATTGATTTTCATGTTTAAAGTAACTTTTATCATACTTAATGAATTTCACTCTAGGCATTCATTTTCTATATAAAAAATATTAGCGCATTCCAACTATTCACTATGGCCATATCATGTTGAAACACTGGTCCCTGTACAATCACTTAAATTAAACAACATCGAACCTGGTTAGTACTTTGATGGCTGACTGCTTGGAAATACCAGGTGCTGTCAGCTTAGATATAAAGGTGTTGTAACGTTCAGAATTTGAATTTGGCGAGCCGAGTTCCAATTCCATTCAAGTTTGTTATATTCACTTACGTGCAAATTCCCTTGAATGAATCTACCTCTTCCATTCTCCCCAGCTATGGGTTAATTAGTAGAACTTGTACCAGTAAACCATTATCTCAAAAAAAAAATTCTTACAATCAAAAAATAAACTGTAAAAATCAAAATAAAGCAATCAATTATTCACAAGCAAAAAAAATCAATTATTCACAAGCAAAAAACTTTTTTAAAGGCCTTATCAAAAAGTTTTCATTCACAATTACCTGCTTCCACTTTCATTTATCTTTTTTTTTAAATTCTTCCTCGTATTTAAAATTAATCTCAGGCCTTCTTCGGTTGGGGGGAGTGTGCTCTAGGCAGTTCTAAGTTTTGCTTCTTTTTCCTTTCTTTAAATAAAGAAATAAAAAGACAAATGCCAACACTTTAACTGTATTTGCATAATCCGTAGTCAGTTTTCACCAAATAAAACATCATTAAATTCTGAGGCACCAATAACAAATCCCAGAAACAAATTTTGTTGACTTTATAAAAATAATGACAGATTGAATATCTTGGAAATAATTCCCTATCATCTAAAGTATTCTATATTAATTTTTTTTTTCTCCCCCAGGTTCAATGGCATGCCAAGGCTAGAATGGCAACAGGGACCAATTTTTATATTGTGGGTAGAGACCCAGCTGGTATGCCCCACCCAGATACGAAAAAGGATCTTTATAATCCTACTCATGGGGCAAAGGTAAGCATTGTATTTTTCATTTCTACAATTAAATGTACAAGAGAGTTTTTTTTTGTTACCTTTAGTACTCAGCATTCTTCTTTTATTTGCTATGTTTTGTCAGGATGTAGGTAATCGTGGCTCTCCTCAGCTTCCTATCTATTGTGGCCTTTAATAGCATTTCTTCTTTTGCCAAGACTCCTTTTCCCCCATTCTGAAATCCATTCATGCAAGCTTGTCACATAAATGGCCCACTGGCTTCCCCTCTCTCTTTTACCCTTGATCTCCTTCCTCCTTATGTTTCCAAGTCTTTTTCTGATTCTGAGTATAAATTTTCTTTTTGTTACCAATTTCTTTAAGACTTCCTCACACCACCCATGGCATTCTCAGTATCCTTCTGTAGAACCATATTATTCACTAATAGTACTATCCCTACTACTATATACAGCAGCCCCTCAACTACAGTCACCTCATTCTTGATTTCAGTTAAAGTTGTGTTTACTGTTGTCATAGCAGGATATCACAATCACAAAATTCAAACACTATCATTTAGCAATTAGAGTTGCTTGCAGTGGCAGAACAAAATGTTTGCTTAGCAAATGAAGTTGTGTGTGAAGTGCTGAAGGTTAAAAAAAAAGACTTGTTTGCAATTGGTAAAACCTTTTTTAACTAAAAATTTGTTACTTATTTCTTTTTACAAGTATTGATCTAGTTCAAATATTAATTCAACGGGTTTTGCATTTTTATTTGTTTATAAAATATTTAAAAAATGTTTTCTTTCCTTTTAAATTTCAAATTGAAAACTTTTTTTAAACTGAATTGACAAATAATTTTGCAGAGTTGTAGAAATAAAGTCAATTAAATAAAATCATATTTAAAGTATGATTTTAACAATTGAATTCATTTTTGTTCTGTTGTTGCTAATGTTTTAGCTGTTCCATTCTACAGCCTTCTTCAGACATACAATTTTTATTTTTAAGGTGCTAACTTCGGCTCCTGGTCTTAACCAATTAGAAATTGTTCCTTTCCGAGTTGCTGCTTACAACACCAAACGCAAATGCATGGACTTCTTTGATCCAGAGAACAGAGAAGACTATGACTTCATCTCTGGAACACGGATGCGCAAACTTGCTCGGGAAGGTGAAACACCTCCAGATGGATTCATGGCACCAGAAGCCTGGGAAATCCTTTCAGAATACTTCAAGTCTATTAGAAACTAGAAACAATAAAAGATTTAGCCTTGAAACTTGAGTAAGAGAGGTGAAGAGAAATGTCTTTATTTTTATGGTCCAAATCAAACATCTCCTTGTAGGGTATCGTGCGAGCACGGCCATTTTGTCTTGTGTCAATGACACGTTTGTCTATCAATTTCTTTTGGTGAGGAGTTTGTGGCAACAGCATTTTATCTTGGCCAAGTGTTGTTTTTTTTTAATTTCTCCTCTTCTAATTTCTTTACCTCATTAAATCATAGAGTTGTACTGAAATCAAATATACGTAATTTTTAGCTATATTGTATCATTTATATTAAATGGTCTTTAGTTATTAAAATTGAGTTTTCAAATGATGTAGACCAACAATTGACATTTTTTGATGTTAAAAATATTAAATCTATTTACAAAGTCACAACAATAAGAGAAAAAGTAACTGGAATATTTTTATGTTGAATAAAATTTTTAAAATGGCGGAGGTGGTAATTAAGTGTCTTTTATAGACGGTTTTTTTGGGGGGTTTTTTTAACCCATGAAAATTTTTAAGATGCTTATTGCAATCATACACTAACATTTCTTTTCATATTTCAAGAAAGAAAATTAATTTTTATTCAAATTCTTTAAAAATAAATAAAAGAATCCATTATAGATAAAAATGGGAGGCATGGCCTTCCTCGCATATTCGAAATCTGAAACACCTTATCTTTGGGAAACAAAAAAAAAAGATATATTTTTCTGCTATTAAAGTCTATTATTGTCATTCAATCAATCAATATAATTTTTTTTTTTTTTTTGCTTGGTTACTAGCGCTCTGTTTATTTTTGAAATTTTGGAAACCCACTGTAAATTTGCAGACTTCTTTTCCTAATCTTGGATTTATTTCAAAGTAATTATCAGACAAATATAGAATTAAAAACATCAAATTGAATTAATTTTTTGTGTTTTTTTTTTGTTTTTTTTTTATTGAAATCAATGTCTCGATGCTTTTATAAAGAACTTGGCTCTCTGTGAACAAATATTTTTAAGTATAGTTAACCAATATCTGTTGTAAAGTACTTTTTACATTTATCATGGCCACCAGATTTTCCCTTTTCTCTTTTATGTGACATGGCTCTCCACAGCTTCTTGTCTTTTGTTACTCTAGGTAATTTTTAACTCTTTTAATCCGAAAATAATATCAGCTTATATATTCTTAGAGATTTTAAGACTTTTCAGATTATTTTTTAATTTTTGAAATCTTTGTTCAATTTTGTGAAATTTACTGCTGTTTTTTTCAAAAGCTTTTATTGGGCAACTATTTAAAAAAACATAACAGTTTAGTTTTTAAATTAAACTATAGTAAACATTTTTTTTTTTTTTTAACATCTGAACATGTTCTCTGTCATATATTATGCATTGCCTCTGACACTTACACTTGTGGCCAGTCTACAGTTTTTATTTATAAATAGCTATAGTAACATGCTAGAGACTTCTTCTGCTTTGTGGAACTGAACAGAAGACATATTGTTAAGAGTGTATTGTCAAATATCCAAGGTAGCAGTAAACGTGTTTATATACTTGGTTACCTTAAAAGCCTTTTATCAGTATTAGTGATAAATTTCACATTTACTAACTGAAACTTTAAGCAATTAGAGAACTAAACATTTAATTATGCAAACTTCAACTCAAGGTCATTCTTCTGATGAATATTAATTGATTTTCCTCTCCAACAATTACACAATTTTCTTTTTTTCTTTTCCTTTATAATTGCTGAGAATTGTTTATTTTTTAAAAAAAACAATTACAATTACTGGTTGGTTAAGATTGCCAGTCAAACCCTGCTGTTTAACGATTAAACATTTATTTGGCATTGCTTAAATTAATTGGTCCACTCGTATGAAAAGAATCAAAAAAGAATTTTTTTATTTTACTATTTTGGTAGATCAGTATTTCAGCATTTCATTAAACCTTCCTCTGCCCATGACATTTGCCTGAACTGAAAAATATTGATTTTTTTTTTTTTTTTTTTTAGAAGGGGGGGGGTGCTGAGGCAATATCCAATCAATCTTTGATTTCTCAAAGAGTTATAGGTTCATTGTTTTTATTTACAAATGTCAAGTTTAAAACTGACATTGATGACTGCATGCTGCTGAAATTGTATTTTTTTTTTCTCCCCAACTGGAAAATGCAGTTCTCAATTAAGTAAGCACAGTTTCAAAGTTGACATTTGTAAATAAAAACAAAGTACTGGTAACTCTTTAAGAAGTCAGAGATTGATTTGACACTGGATTTACATTATGTACATGACCCAGCCCCTCAACTTCTAAAATGATTTTTTTTTAAAAATTCATTTCTGACAAATTTTATGGGTTTGACAATCTACAATGAGTATGATAACATACAAAAATTATCCCCCACCCTCAACACCAAATTGAAGTTTTTCAGTGTTTATCTTTTTGGGTTTTTTTTTTGTTTTGTTTTTATGCGTAGACCACTTAATTCAACTAGTGTCATTTAATCTAAAAACAAATCAATTTTCAAATCTAAATCATTGAGGAAATTTTCTCAGTTTATTTTTTCAAAACTTTATGAATTTATGGCTATTTTTGTTGATTTAATGTAATTTTTTTATTCATTTTTCTTTCAACCGCAACTGCTTCTTTAACTCACTTTTTTATTTCTTAGAACTTGAGTTTTTCTTTTTGAAAGTCTCATAAATTTTGAAACTTGAATCTTGTTTTATATATATATATATATTATCCATCACCAATAGCATGACTATCGGTGAAGGATGATATGTATATTTATTAACCAGCACTCCATGTGCGATATATATATATATATATATATATATATATATATATATATATATATATCATGGGGATGTACTCAATTTTAACAAATATGACATTATTAGTTTTTTATTTGTAGATCATTTGAAAGCTATAGATTGCTAAGAGACCCAAGTGACCTTGTATGAATGGTAAAAATATGATGAAAAAAATTGGATATTCTAAAAAAAAAAAAAAAATTTGGTTTTCAATTGCGATTATCTCCCCTTATTCCACAGTGCTTCTGTATATTTTATAGTAACTCAATTTCTCTAATCTCCACTAAAATTTGCCTTAATCACTTTTCTGCTGCTAATGTTATATTCTAATTGTACATTGGAATAGCTAGTCCAGTATTAGTGCTATATTATTCTCATGTGGGGAGTGCATTATATATTTAATCTTTTCTATGTTTCTCTTGGTTCTATATCATATCAGTGTTACGTGCGGCAATTCTTTGCCCAATATTTAATGTTTAAATTGCCTCTGGTCTCTGTAACAAATTTAAATTAACCATTATAAGTACATTGTTGAGGGTTCAAATCTAATGCATCCAGTGAATTTTTTGTTTGTGTTTTTGTATGCATGAGACAATGAACAACATGCATAGATGTTGAAAGTGCAGTTGAATTTATTGGAATCAGACACTAAAAAGAAAATGTCAAATTGTATTTTATTCTCTACAACAATAGTTCCACCAACATTCAAAAATAGACGAGTTGGAGACAACAGCATCAATAATAAGAATAATAATAGTATAAAATTTAAATAAATTCTGTTGCGATACAGCAATTTTTATGCAAATTCTTTTTTATTTATTTTTTAATTACATTTAAATTTATAATTTTAATTTTTTATTAAGTTTTAATGTTATATTTTTAATATATATTCTATTTTATTTGTAAAACAATTTTTTCACCTATATTCAAAAATATACCAGTTGGAGCCAGCAGCAACAACAACAACAACAATAATAATAGTAAAAACACAAAATTTATTTAAATAAATTTTATAATTGCCATACAGGACAGACATTATTTTAAAAAAGGATAAAATATGGGGGGAAAAAAAACCCAAACTGCTTAAGTTGTTTGATATGAAAATACAAAAAGATACAAGAAGTGTGGAGAGAAGAAAAAAAATTAGGAGTTAACTGGTTATCACTTGTCACTCTTCAAAATTTGTAAAATAATTTTTTTTGCACATCTGACCCAAAAGGAACAAGGGCAAATCGATCCCTTGTGTCAGTAATATAGTGAAAACTGAACATTTTGCAAAGAAACCACAAGCAACCATTTTTTTTTTCTTTCTCCAGCTGCTCTTGTTTTCAGTATGTGTATTTTTGTAACAAACTCTGAATGGTTTGTTTGTTCATTTTTTTTTCTTCTCTATTTTATCTTCTTTTTTAATAATGTCTGTCCTGTCTATAATTATAAAATTGTCTCCAACAATATTTTCAAGATAAATTTTGTTACGATAAAGCAGTGTTTATATTAATTTTTTTAATTACATTTTGAATTTTGAAATTTAATTTCCTTTTTGATTTTTTTTTTTAAATTTTTACTTTTATCTTTTTGCCATCATCTTGACTCGAACTGTAAGAGAAACACAGAAAGGTTAAAAAGTAAAGCAAATTATTTCTCCTCAAAACAAAATATTCTTCATGTGACGAATAATCACAAAATTCATTTGACAGAATTCCTTTGACATTTTTTTCCTTTTTTCTCTAAGTCTAGACATTTATCACTCGATTCATGTAGAACAAAGATGAATCATTAAATTATTCCAATTGTAAGATTATTTTTTCTTTCAATTGAAAAAAAAATATCATCTTTCTGCCTTGGTGAAGCTGAGAATAAAAATTTAAATATTTCAAGTCAAATATTTTTGAAAAAAAGATTTTATCTTTTTAAAAAAAAAGACAAACTATTTTACAATTGATTTCCTTTGATTACAGCCTGGGGGGGGTCTAATCTTAACTTGCAATGAAATTTTGTCTGTTGTAAAAAAAATGCAATTGCAGCTGTTAATTGGTCAACATCTGCTACTTTTTTTTTTTTTTTTTTTTTTTGATTGGCAAACTATTGTTGTTGTTGTTGTTATATTGGAACTTGAACTTGTTATATTGTTTCTTAGTTTGAAAACTGCAGTATTGTGGGCAGAGAATTGGATCAAGCCATCATGTGGTAAAGATATTCAGAA